CTAATTGCCCAATCTGCAAGGACAGAAACCCACTCTAAATTGACCAGCATCGGGCTTCGGCAAGTCTTCTCTTCACTCTCCCTCCTGTTAAGACCGTTTCCAAAATCAATCAGCAAAGGACAAAGAATTCTTTACAGAGTGCAATTAGTGTTTTCCACGTCCACCTTCAAAAGCATGATGCTCTTCATGGGCTAAAGGACAGAAAAAAACAAAAAGGAAAAAAAGGAAAGAAAACTTTAAGCGAAGGATGGGGCAACCCTTCTCTAAGGCATCTCATTCACTTTCCCCAAATGTTGGCAAGAACTCAAATACCTTTTTGTGCCAGTAACTGTTAGCTAAGGCGTGCATTTCCTGAGAAACGTAATAATGAAAATTAAAACAAGGAATAAACAAGCAGTGGGAATGCTGCCTGAATCTTCTCGCTGTGCTGGAGAGGATGAGTAATCCCGACAAGCTGATGGAGAGGACATGGGGGGCTGCAAGCAGATGCTGGAGGGGACTACGTGCCCTGCAGAAGGCATGGGGACCTGATAGTACCCAGGACAGGGCTGTTCACAGCCTAGCTTTAAAAATAAAATCAAACAAAAATAAAACAACATAAAGAACACAAGGGTGGCAGCAAGTCTGTTATGTCCCCCGCCACCTCTGAACACCCTCTGTGGGAAATGACGTTTCATTTAATTGATGGGTCTTTTATTTTTCCCAATCATGGTTTTTTTTTTCATCCCTCCTGTCTGGCTTGCAAATGACTAATTATAATTAGGAATTCTAGAATAAAAGATGATGCTATCAAAAATATTTTCCGAAGACTTGAAATTTTATCAAGCGGAAGTGGGAGACGGGAGACCTAGGAAACACATAACGTTTCGTCCAAGGCAGAGGCCAAGTTTGAAAATCCATTTTCTGACTTGGTTGACCATCATCATAAAGCAAGGGCAGCTCCTCTTCTCTCAAGGGGAAAAGTTGCTGTGGTTTGGGAATGATAAAGTCAAGGGTGACTCAGGACCCTCTGGGCTTTGTCCCTCCACACCCTAACCCCACAGGCAGAGAAGGATGCCGTTGAAAGGCATCAGTGAGCTGGCCCATTTCACCTGTTAAGCCCCTCCCAATTCTGTTTTTTTTAAAGACTGGCACCTGAGCTAACATCTGTTGCCAATCCATTTTTTTTCCTTCTCCCCAAAGCCCCCCAGTACATAGTTGTATATTCTTTTTTTTTTAAAGATTTTATTTTTTTCCTTTTTCTCCCCAAAGCCCCCCGGTACATAGTTGTGTATTCTCCGTTGTGGGTCCTTCCAGTTGCGGCATGTGGGACGCTGCCTCAGTGTGGCTTGATGAGCAGTGCCATGTCCGCACCCAGGATTCGAACCAACGAAACACTGGGCCGCCTGGAGCAGAGCACTCGAACTTAACCACTCGGCCACGGGGCCAGCCCCAATAGTTGTATATTCTATTTGTAGGTCCTTCTGGCTCTGCTATGTGGGACACCGTCTCAGCATGGCTTGATGAGCAGGGCCATGTCTGTGCCCAGGATCTCAACCAGTGAAACCCTGGGCCCCGAAGCGGAGCGTGTGAACTTAACCACGTGGCCACAGGGCAGGTGCCTGAATTCTCTGTTTTTCATATGGACTAAATTCTTCAGACTAATATGGAGTAGGGGGTAGGGAACAGGACCATTTTTCCTTCAGGATCATCCTGGATGTCACCTGAGCCTGCCCTTCCCTAGCATAAACAGTGAGAGAAACGCACTTTACCGCTCCCACGGTAACCTCACATTGGCCAAATTCCCAAGAGTGCCTTGTAATCCAAACTGATTTAATTGAACATTTATTCATGTAGAACTTCACAAATATTTTACTTTGTATGTTTTGTTTTTTCTTATTAGGAAAGATTTTTAGGGCAGACACCGAAGAAAACATGGTCTGCTCTGCAATAAAATATACAGTGCTACTGGGTCAAGTGGAGGAGCCACAGACCTCTCAGCGATGTTGGGCTCCAAATTATAAATCAAGAGATATGGACTGTTGGAAGGTTTTTATTACTTCCAAGTGCGAGGGACAGTCTGAGGCGGTCATGGTTGAGACACTGAAGTACTGCCATGTTGATGGGTTGTAGAGATAATAGAACAGAACATTCAGAATTGGGAGAGTTCTGGGAACAGAGGAAGTTCTGTCAGCCTTAGGCTGCCTTGGGAGACAGGGAATACAGAAACGCTTGAAGCCAGGAGTCAGCAAACTTCTTCTGGAAAGGGGCAGAAAGCAAATACTTCAAGCTTTGCGGGCCATGGATCTCTGTCCCAACTATTAACTCTGCCACTGTAATACCAACGCAGCCATAGAGGATAGTACACAAATGGGCTTTGCCAGGCGCCAGTACTCTTTATATACATATGGACAGTGAAATTTGAATTTCATACAGGTTTCAAGTGTTAAAAAAGAGTAGTTCTTCTTTCGATTTTTTCCAACCATTTAAAAATGTAAAAACCTCCTTAGCTGCAGCTCATCCAAAAGCAGGTGGGGGAAGGGGCCGATGTGGCTTGAGGTTCTAAACAATTCTCTGCTCTAAACAATTCTCACATCGGAAAAGACGTTCGTCATTCAGCTGCTCTGAAGAACCTAAGAGAATTTGCGGGGAGGGGGGTCTCTGTACATTGTGAGTTTCTCAGTCAAATAACCAATCTGAATGCAAATCATATCTAACGATCAACAGCCCGTTCCTCACCCACCCTGCTGGAGGCCTTCACGAATACGCCAGGGCTTTCTACGTGGAAAATCCGCCCTGTCACCTGGCTCCTGTACACTTGTGAATACTTACAGCAGGATCCTATTAACAAGATGGCGTAAAAGCGTGGACTTGGCCATTTCTAACTCAGCTCACCCTACGACTGTTCTTCATCATTTTGGGAATAAGATTTCTGCCCAAACCTCATTTTTCCAAATCAATTCTGCAGCACGTGGTGTATGACCCTACTGAGTAAAGGACTGCCTGCTTTCTATAAAATAAAGAGAATTGCTTGTTTTTTCCAACTTAGTTTTTTTGAATCATCTTTGAGTTTTTAAATGTTAATTTATGCCATTATGTGGATTTCTGCTGAGACCTGCAGCCAGTTCTGCATTACTCACAAACTTCAGAGTGGCCTCTATCTTTCTGGTGTCTATTCAGCTTGATTCAACCAGCCAGGCTGCAAAGCTCCCCCTTCGTTAGGCTTTTTTCTTGCCCCAGCCATCACGATAGCTAAGCAGTGACTTCTCCTTGTTCAGTCTTACTTGATTATGGCCGCTGCCCTAAAAACCAGCCTAACCACTCTGTGGCCTATTTATCTCATGAAACACTCGTATCATGTTGAACCTGATGCTAACCAACGTGTTCCCTGGAAATTTAATCAAAGAATTTTAGAGTGGAAGGGACCTTGGAGATCACTTAAGACCAACCTCCTCGATATTTACATGAGACAGAGAAAGGATGAGAAGCTGTGACTTGCTCAAGGTCATGCTGTTGAAGTGGGACAAAGGTCCAGAGTGCCTGATTTAATGATTCCAAATTGCTTTTCTCCTCTTTTGAGTCAAATGGGCAGCTGGTTCAAAGGTGGAAAGAATGTTTTAGCCCTGTTCATAAATGGCAACGAAACACACTTCCTTCCAGAAGCAGAGTTTCTGCTGGGGTTAGTCTTGTGGAGTGGAACAAGGAAAAGCCCCTCAGTGACCTTTCAATTAATATCTGGGTTGAAAATACAATTAATGTTCCCTAAGGAATGAAAATTGCATCTACAAATGTGCAATTTCCACACTGCACAGCCAATCAGCGACTTCTGCTGCGCCATCTTTCCATCTCTTTTATTGAAACTTTCATTTAAAATTCAACGCCCAGCCTTTCCTGGATATGCGCAGCCCCTGATCAGCCCAGCTGCTTAAACTCTCAATCATTCCGCCTGTGATTACATGATTCCTTCGAGGGAGGCCTTGCTGTTGACATCCTCTATCATACTAAGACAATCATGAAATAAAATCTGATTTTTTTCCTCCTTTTTGGCAAAGGGTTGGGAAAAGCAAAAGAATCCTGAAGTGTATTTCAGCAATTCTAAGATGCGTTCCCCCGACCCGCCCAACCCACATTTGAAGATCCCTAGAATCAATATGTGTCATAGTTTGATGGGAAGCCTTTTATTTTTCTTTTTTAGTAATACTAAAATAATACTTATCATCAAGGGCATCTTAGATTCAGTGAAATACAGTAGTTAAAAGAATTGGGTTATTGACTCTCAGCACAGTGTGCAAAATAGGAAATGTATCATATACGTGTAGGGCTGTCAATCCTTTCCTCTAACTCATTGTTAAAAGTGTAACCTGCTGTTTGATCTACCAAACATTGGTTTAATAGCACTAAGCTGTTTTCATTATGAAAAAGATGACTTTTTCAAAAGAGCACACAAAAGCAATGAACATGAATCATGATGGAAACAATGGTCCACACACCTATTCATACTGTTAACATTTTACCACTAGGCGTGAATGCTCCTCCGCTTCTGTGTCACGGTTGCCCGTAATGAGGAAGTACTAGCATTCCAGTAGCACATTCAATCACGCCTGTGCTCAGGAGTTCCTCCACAAATACAGATGTTACACATTATAAATTCCTATTTATGAAGGGATGATTGAATATCTACCTGCCAGCTCACATAATAACATTTTTGTTATTGTTGCTTCCAATAGAAGGCAATTTCTTCTGAGAATGACAAATGTAAGATCAGGTTTAAATTTTTGAAATAACAAATACAATATGCATCTCCTTTTCTGATCCACACGTTTAGGCGAAAATAAAATCTCACTTTAATTTCTGAGACTAAATTGGTTTTTTTTTAAACACTTGACTGTATCTTATTGAATTATTTTCTGGACTATAGAATTTCAAGTGATTCTGCCTTTACCTCATTTGAAACACAGTTTCTATCTTTAAAAGTATAAGAGAATAAGCTAGAAAGTAATAAGTGGAAATGAAGCACTTACGTTTATAAAATACTGCTTTAAAAGATATGTGGGGCAGAAGTTCATAGATCTTTTCTAAAACGGTCGCTTCACCCACTAAAGAGGCATTTACATTCCAGACTTGGACGACATCTTCTCGGTCTCGAACACTGACACTGACTCCTATGACTTCGTCATCTGAGGGGAAGGCAGGGAAAAAAGAAATAAGTGACAATTTCAAGTCTGCCTGCGTTGTTTTTTAAGCACTTATCAGTTTATCTGTAAGTTATGGATAAGAAGATAAAAAGGTGGCACGAGAGAACCTGTAATAAATACTGTTTCTAAGGGGAATTGTTGGACAAAAGCAAGTTAGTGGGCAAAAGCTGCAGCAGTCACATTGCATTTATCCAGGGACTTAGATAAACATAGTGTTCCAGCCAAACGATTTTCCAGATAAGTAATTTACCCTTTTTAACATGTTACCAAAGCTTTTTGACTATTTCTTACTGTTTTGTTGCGACTTTTTCTAAAGTGAGTTGCATAATACTTTGCCCTCGAAAGCCAAGTGAACTCACATGAACTTTTCCTCGATGCTTGACTGTCTTTGTTAAGAACAGCGAGTATTTCTCCTGACCTCCTGCCAAGCGTTCAGGGATCTTGGGGTGGTTAGTGCTATTTGCCCCACATTAACCGGCCCCAGACAGTGTGTTCTGAGTTGTTCCTTCTGCTTCTTGTGGTTTGCTTGTCTGCTCCTTCCCTGTTAATTCTTCCTGCTCTCTAGTGCTTCCCTCTAGCCATCCTGCTGCTGGTTTTGGGTTTTTTAACTGTGGGCTAGAGAATGAATGACCATCTGTTAGCACTGTGTATACAGCAAGAGTAAATATCTCTTGAGAGTGGCTCTGCTATTACAGTTTTCAGTGAATGGTCATGAAAGCATTTAACTACATCGATTAATGGAGGTCTTTTTCTCTTTTTAAACTAAATTCTGGATGTGGGGCTGCCTTGTAGACATTTGAGAACGTTGGCTGGATAAGTAAGGTTTTGTTGTACCTGTTATATACTCCCTTGCAGCCACTTTGTGTACAGTAATTTATAGCAAAATGATAGGGGTAAAGACTTTTGACTCCTGGTTTACATGTTTAGGACCTATTAATGAGACAGGGTCAGCTCTCTGCACTCGCTTATTCAGCATCAATAAGTCAAATGAGAAAGGTAAACATTATTGAAATTAGAAAATTTTGCTTTCGTTAACATGCTTTGCCTAATTTGTCTAATTTTCTGTAAATCTAAATATTTATGCCATTAGTTTTCCCAATTTTTTTCTGAAGGTTAAAACATTCTAGTATTCAGATACAATTTAAATAAGGACATGTTCAATTTACTTAAGGAGTTCATCTTTAGTAAAATAATTCTTCGCTCATCCTTCCTTCCATGCCCTCCCTCCCTCCCTTCTTTTCTTTTTAAATGAATTTGATCCTGGCTAACTGTGTATGAATTGACACTAAATGATTCCATTACATAAGTGTTTGAAAGCAGGAAAAATCAGCCTATGGTGTTGGAAGTTGGGTTGGTGGCTACCTTTGTGGGACGAGAGGACAAGGAAGGATTCTGTGGGGTCAGTGATATTCTGCTCCTTGATCTGGAGGCTTGTTACAGGGATCTGCTTACTTCGTGACTATTTATCAGTCTATACACATCATGGTTTGTGTACTTTTCTGTATATATGTCACATTTAAACAAAAATTTCCAAAGAAAAAAATAGTACCTCATCACGGCCATCCATAGGAACTTATTATTCCATCAAGAAATGTCTTTTATGTGCAGGTTTCTTATTTTTTCAATTTACACCTTTAAAATATACTTACTAGAGCTTAATGTTAAATTTTATGTGAACATAAAATCAAGTTAAGAAGGAAGGTTTATCGTTCACCACTTTCAAGAATGACCAGGAAGTCACCAGATCAGCCTTTTGGGGAAAAATCGGCCTTCTGCAGTCTTTTGGTTTTGCCCATTTCCACACTGTTGGTCAGAGGGTGCTATAATTGATGGCTGCTAAACATGCTGAACTGCCAGTATTTCAGTTTGGCTTGGCTTCTGGGAACTGGGTGTAGCTCCCAGCCCCGCACTTTCGGAAACGGCATGGTAAAAAGGCTGCAGCTCTCATACAAAGGCAGATCTATCAGCAAGCGTGTAATCTTCATAAGCAGAATCAACAGCAAAACCCTGATTATTTTAGGGTACTGGCAGCATAAGACATTAGAGCTTGGAGGAGCCTCTGTTTAAAGATGGGGGAGTGAGGCCCAGAGAGATTAGTTGACTTGCTTCAAGTGGCAGAGCTGGGTTAATGGAAGAGTTAATGATTAATAGTTAATGGTCCTCTTATTTCCCAAGTCAACCACAGAACAATAGGTCTTCTTTACTCAATCCTGGCTATTTATTATTACTTAGACTATTTTCTCTGGTTTTGGAAACAGGAATAATTCATACAGAAACCTCCTCTCCCAGAGATTTATGTGTTTATAATTATGCCTAGGACGCATTTTTGGCTGCATATCGTGAGGTTGCTTAACTACTCCTTATGAAAACAGAAGGAATCTGTAGTTTTAAGACAATTTCATCTTAACCCAGGTTTTGCCTTAAGTGAATAAAAAGTGGTGTAAGAGGTAAGCAAAACAAAAGTAGAATTTTTGAAATGGCTAGTGAGATGAATCTGAAACTTGCTATGGCACTGGCTTGGCCTATGCGGGCTCCCAAAGAGAGCACCAGCTAAGAAATCTAAGGGCAAATTAATCAATGCCAACTAGTTAAGAAAAAAAAAAACTTAACTAAAAGCTGAACAAGAAGAAATGTTACTCTAAATGTTAACCGCAGGAGCATTCAGAAGGAACTACTCAAGAAGAAAAAAAAACTTTAAACAAGCAATTCGATTCTCTTCTTTGAGTGGTTTCATGATAAAAACAATGCAAAATAAAAATGTACTCACGGAGGCTCTCAGAAATCCACTCAGGGTTTGAAAATGGTCTCCAAAGTGTAGTCCTGAAGACCTTATATTTTAGTCTCAATTATGGGGTCACAGGTAATAATGCTGAGCGCATCCCTGCCTACCCTTTATACTTTCTTTGAGGGGGGACCAAGAAAGGGCAGGGGGAAGGGAGTGGTAGGGACAGAAAAGACTGTGCCTACCCAACCAGTAGACACCAAAGGCACTTTCCCCTTCTGGAAGAACTGAAATAGGAAACCTACCACGTATTGTGGGAAGAGCCCAACTGATACCAAATTTCCTTTTCTTTCTGCCTATTTATTTTGGACAGCTGGTTATGGCAACTATTAAGATGAGCTACAGGGGAAAACATATATGCATATACACATATGTACATAAATATAATATACACATGATATACACGTGTACATGCACATATAACAGAAAGAGGGCACAATCACATGAGAAAAACCTAGTAACTTCACAGTTATAAAATAACTTCAAAACATGTCAAAAGTCAAACACACAAAAACAAACTTCTGCAAATCACAAGCATGAGCCACACACACGTGAGCAGCGGCACCGACCGGAGCAGTGGGCTTCTTTACCTGCAGCTGCACAGTCTGTGAACTGCTCCCCGATAGTCGCTAACAACAACTCTTTCCAAACTGTGGACTGGCGTGGGAAAAGAACAAAAAACAAAAAAACAAACCAAACAAAAAAAAAAAGACACATATATATTTTTAGACAGTTATCCTCAGGAGCTAAACAAGTCACATTCTCTTTAACTTCACATGCACTTTCCGTGCCCATATTTGGAGCCCGCCCACATCTCCAAATCACAGGCGTAAACACTCACAATAGTGTCACATATTGTATAGTTTTACAAATAACTTTACTCAGATAGATACAAGTGATCCAAAGTCACAGACTCCGTGTCCAAAAAACTTGGTGTCCAAAGTTACAAAGCTAATTTCTAGTGAAACTCCTGATGAAGTTCAGAAGAATGAGGGAAAAATGCATTCAAATGACATAACCTTCTGGTTTCTTTACCACTCACTGCCTGAAAATGTATCAACTGGTTATATTTGAATGCTATTAGTCAAATCCTTCTCTTCAAAACCCTTTCCTCTGTTTTTCTTGCAGTTTATAAGGTACTTCAAGGGTTATACAAGTAAAGAACACTTAAGGAAATTTCGTTTCTTGACTACTAAAGACTTGCAAATTTCCATTCACTTGAGACAGACTGTTTATGATAAGAGACAGAACTTTACGGGTAGACGTATGCAGTTCCCTGGAAGAATTAGTACACACTTTCGTCTACTTCCTACCAGTGAGAAAAACTGGAGACCCTTCTACTTAGGACTACTAATGCCATCCAATGAATAGCCAGCACCAACTCACAGGTTACTGGAGGCCTAAAAGTTCTAGATATTCTCCATCAAAACGTTTTTGGTCCCGTTTATCTTCCTTGCCACAGTTCACAGGCTCTGAACTCTCCCAGAACTGGGTTTGAATTCTGACAGGCTGCTTAGTATCTGTGACCTGGGCAGGTTATCAACCTCTCTGAGCATCAGTTTCCTTAGGTGCAGAGGGAATAATAACAAGGCCGACCTCCCAGGGTTGTTGTGACCATGACATTAGTCAACAAATGCGTTCAAAGGGCTTAGCACTGTGATTGCAACAAAAGGACTCAACATTTAAGATCCATTCCATAAATAGCTGCGTGTTTGCTATATGCCAGGTGCTCAGTACACATTAACTATAATAAGAGTGTTTATTACCATGTTCTAAGGAGTTGAAAGCAGCCTAGCTGAATTTTTAACTAAGACGATAGCAGTTAACCATGATGACCTCTCACTCTCAAGGAGGATTTTCTTTTCTCTTTCCTAGACCTTCCCTTCTGGTCTACTTGTCTGCCATGTAGAGAGCATCCTTTCCACTTTCTCTCTCTCCCATGTGCAGTCTCTTACACGTTAGGGACAAAGCTGAGGGTGGAGAGAGGAAGTTAGGGGAAGGGAAAGTTCCCTGTCTTGTTTTGAATTCAGACAAGGCTGGCCACCAGACTCCCACTTGGTGACGACAGAGTGGGCTGAACTACTTGGGACGAGGACATTTGTACAGACATGAAAGCACTATTGTTTGTGACTGAATGTGGCCAAGTGGGCTAACAAGGAGAGAAAGGACAAATGTGCCTTTCAGCCACTTTTCATCGAATGCTGACATCACGATTGTTTCTACTAGAATTCAAAGTCTAGTGTGAGTAAATAAAAGACATGAAAAGGAAAGCTTGTTCTTCTTGAGATGAAAAACAACTTACCCCCTCTCCCTCTCTTATATTCTCTGCCTTCCCTCCTGTTTAGAGGGGCAGGAGGAGCTTCCTAGCCCTGCCTGGTTTGTTATTTGCTCCCCCGACATTTTTTATCATATATGCCGAAGAATCGGCAAATCCTGGAGCTACACACCTTGGTGATAGTTTCCATCTTTAACAAATAAATCTGGTCCTATCTTCAGGTTTGTGCTTACAGTGAAATGGCTCCAGCTTAAACCTACGAGTCCCTGGAGACTTTTCAATTCTTTGAGCTTATCCACATGAAAGAAACCAGGAAAAGGTGGCAGTGGGTAGCATTTGCCCTTTCATCCATTTTCAAAGAAGCTTTTTGGTTTCCCGGGGCTTAAGAATAAATCTGAATGTTCATTCTCAGTCAGTACGATGAATTAGACCCCAATCTTGGGAAATCTAGGTTTCTGAGGCTTGCAAAGCGGTGTCCCAGCAGACCATCCCACCAACCAGGTTCTCCTCAGCCCCAGAAGGAGGCCGGGCACAGCCTCCCATGAAACTGAAAAGAATGGTGAGATGCAAGGCCTCCCGAGCATCCCCATTCCCCAAGCCATGGGCATTTTCAGAACTGCTTCTGCACCCCGGGGAAGAGGGACGGGCCTCGGATGGGAAGGATCCTGCTTCTCACCATGTAAACCTATTCCTACAGGTTAGTTATGGCTGGTGAGGAAAAGACTGCCATAAGCAGCTTTTCTGGAAAGTTTCCAGGCATGGAGGTCTTCAGACTATATGATACAGTCATACTCTTAGACCATTTCTATAGAGAAACACAATAATACATTTTCAAGGTGACAGTGTAAGGCAGAAAATCACCAAGGTCAGAACGAAATCTCTCACCTCCGTCCTATTCTGAGACTACAAGGCAGACTGTCTAAAAAGCACAAGATGCTCATCATATGCACTCAACAACAATCCCAAGCTTAGCCAGTCCTTGAAAGGGATCAGAACAAACCTACCGTGCTGTCCTTGGGAACTTTCATCTTCCATACGCCACCCTTTGCATTACTCTCCTCTTCCCTGGATCAAAGACCAACATTTAAAGTTATACCCAACAATTAAGTAGTTCTATAGACATTTAGTTTAATAATAAATGACATTAAAAACAAAAAACAACGGCACATTCGTCAATAAATTCTCCCCCAGTCCTCTTATTGTAAAGAGAAGCAGATGAAAGAAAAAGGAAGGGGGTGGAGATGGGGAGGGAAGGAAGTAGGATTCAGTGGCCACAAGGGCAGGGAAGGTGACGGGACACCAGGTTCTCATCCTCAAGGAGGTGGGGATTAGATTTCCTAGACTTTCTGGGGATGGACAAATTAATACAAATGCTTCACCTGTGTGAAGGCCTTTCCATTTCGCAGGCCTAAGAGGAGACTTGGCCCCTGTAGTAGGCATCGCTGTATTCCCCTGTTTAGTATCTGCTCCCTTTTCTGGTAAGAGCACCCCGATTTCCCTTTAAGGAGCTACTTGTCCCCTACTTTTATGTCAGACCCATTTCGATAGGGTAGATTCCACATCCTAGCTTCAGAGACGGGCTTATGACCCAGGGCTGCCTATAGCACACTGCCTCTTCCTAGTCTTTGTGATTGGCCAGGGAAGGAAAGGCGACCCATGGTGGGCCAATGAGAGGCAGCCCTGGCATTTTATTGGGGCTGGTGAATGCTGACATTGGTAACCTTGTAGGGTGTAAGACTGGGGCTTACGAAAGCCATTTTGCCACCACAAATGGGAGAGCCTGCCTGAACGTTAAACCAACACAGAGGAAAGCAAAGACAATCTGACGGAGAGCGTCAGATTCCTAATAACATTTGAGCACCCAGATCTGCCAGAAATCAGCCCTACCAGTGGACGTCTCAGTTGCAGGGGCAAAAAAACTCCATTTTCTCCCTCAGCTTAGGTTTCTGTCATATGCTATCAAGTGAGCCAAGATATATTTCTATTTTATTAAGGAGTAAATAACTTAGAAGAGTTGGGGGACATGATATAAGGATTTATTACTAACTGGGACTCCAGCCTAAGTAAACTGGCTTACTGCCCCCACCCTCATCACTACACTAAGCTATTACAGGACGCCTTCCCCTAGGCCCTGGGCATGATCAGTAACACAGACTTTCTATGTGGTCCATGAGACAGATATGTCTGAGGTGATGTGATCTTTGTTCAACCATACAATAGACGTGGAGACCACATCTGTTCCCCTCATCTCCCCACCAGCCAATAAGCTTTTTCCCTCCACTGTCCGAGTCATTGTTGAACGAATGAAAGAACCAAAATGAGGCAACACCCCATACAGAGACCTGCATCATACCTCAGTGCGCTAATAATGACTACTTATGTTGAGACTGCAATGGGGTGCTCAGTGGGGGAACACTGAGGCACTGACTCAGCATCCTAGAGCCCAAGGTGAAGTGGGTAGTGGGCAGGGGCTTATTTCATAATTAAGTAATAGCTAAAATTACTCTCCAACATCACTGGGAGAAAATTACTTTGGCATTCCAATTTGGCATGAAGTAAATATTTTAAGGGGTTCTCAGCCATATCCTTCCAACCTTTACCTCAAATTACATGTTAGACACTTACCAAAGCGGTCGCCTCTCTCCTCTCATTAAATGATAACTACATCTCAAAGGCAGGCTAGTCACAGGAGGAATATTATTGTACACACTCCAGAATATCTTTAAAAGAAAAACACTTTGTTTAATACACCCAGTATTGATTTACTATGCCACTAGATTATAAAATTAATGCATTAAAGAAAAAAATCAGATTCTCATTAAGTCCGATCCATTATAAATAGATTTTTCTCAGTATTCTTCCTAATTTTCTGCTAGAAAATGTAACATAACATTAAAGAATGTTCCTTGCTGAAGTCGGGCCAAGTTCTACACTTCAGGAAGCTATGGTTGTTAAGCAAACATTCCTATGCAAAGTATCTCCACATAAAACTGGGAAAGGATCTTGCTAATGATTTTTCTGACAGGTAGATGGCATCTAATAAAGCCTGCAGTGCAGGATATATGTACTGAACCATATTTCCTTATTACACAGACTCTGTCTCCTGTCTAAGCCTAGAAGGAGTCTGTTACCCTTCGGATTGGGGGACGGGGTATAGAGGAGGAGGAAAAGAGGAATCACCTTAGATGTTCTATCCTCCTTCCTTTCCCCTCCTAGATGGAACAGCGAACAGCTCAGGTGCTGAAGTAACAAGTTGCCCAAGATTCATGGTGCTACAGACTGCATGCTTGTGTCCTCCCCAAATTCATATATTGAAACCCTAACCCCCAACGGGATGGTATTGGGAGGAAGGGCCTTTGGGCGGTAGATAGGTCATAAAGATGGAGCCCCGTGATGGGATTAGTGTCCCTATGGGAAGAGGAAGAGAGCAGCCCTCTCTCTGTTCATCATGTGAGGATACAATGAGAAGGTGGCTGTGTGTCTGCAAGCCAGGAAGAGGGCCTTCACCAGAAGCCAAGCAGGTTGGCACCCTGATCTTTGACTTCCAGACTTTAGAACTGTAAGAAATCAACGTCTGTTGTTTAAGCCATTCAGTCTATGGTATTCTGTTACAGCAGCCAGAACCAACCAAGGCACAGGGTGGCTGATAGATAGAAACAGTTATGTAAAAACAATAGAGTAACAGTAACAGCAATAATAGTAATAGTCCAGGCTTTGGTCTATGAACTTTTACATGTTTATGTAAAGTGTCCTAATGACAACCTCATTAGGAGGTTCAATTATTATCCTCGTTTTATAAATAAGGAAACTGAGGCACAGAGACTAACCTGTCCAAGCATGACTATTTGGTATCACCTTTAGCATAAGGATGAAGATGGAGTTTACAAAAAAGAAAACCCTTCCCCATTTGTTTGGAATGGGCCATGGAATTGCTACACTATAATCTATATGCATAGAATTACTGCACAAATGAGAAATATCATGCCATGCGTAAGGTGAGTAAAGGGGGATTGTCTGGGTCTCCCAGTGGATCTGGGGAGACAGCACAAGCAATAGAACAATGAGAAAAATGAATCTGAGGGCATCATGAATGGAGTAGCATTGGTGGAATGAAATTTTACCTATCTTGAGTGACGACCCTTATGGGATGTTCGAGCCTGTCTTGTGTAAAAATTAAAGCTGAAGTAATTGCAAGGGCAGCAACAATAAATGGTAAGATAACATTGAAAGCAAAAAACTACATGTCAGTTGATTTATTAACTAGAAATACCTTGGATCCCTTCTTCTAAAATGGTGCTAATGTAGGGAGTAGCTGAAAAGAGATTTGAAGTAACAGTAAGTCTTCAAATAGTATCTGTCCTTATGGAGGACCCTATAAATGGTTTGCTCTTGGGTGCTAAGAATAAGATTACACTAATATTTCATTTTGTTTGTGCACATGACTATGTGGAGCTGGAATCTGAAGCCAGGCAGCTTGATTCCAAAACCTGTGTCTTAACCACTAAGCTATTTCCTTTGAAGATGGTACAATGTCTTAGGCACATCTTTCTCCAGTCTTGGAAGCCATGGACCAGGTCATGGAGTCACAGAATGAGGGAATGTTTGAAGATCTTTTCCCACCAGAAGACGCTCTTAACCACATCCAGTATGGTAGCTTGCCTTAGCTCTAGCATGGGACTCTAGCTATGATGTGGTAATGACCTGTGAGGAATATATAAACAAGATTATGCTAAACTAAAAATCCCTACCTTAGGTAAAACCAAGAGGACTTTGGTGCTGACAGACTTCAAGTCTCCTAAAAGGCATCCCAAACCAGAGCACCTGCCCTCACACCCCTGCCAAAGTTCTCAAATCCTGACTTTTTGCCTGGTGTTTGAAGCACCTTGAAAAAACAACAAAATGCTTCTCCTGTTCCAAAGGTAAGAACAACACTGCAAGGATCGTGCTAAGGTTTGTAGCTTTAGAAGCTTCTCTTAAAAACAAGAAGAGACAACTGATTTTGTTAGTCTTGGCAAATGTGACAGGAGGAGATTACAGCCCAAGAAGATACAGCGATAGACTTCACTCTGACAACGTCCTTACTGAAGCACCTATCTACCCATTTGTGCAAGAACACAAAGTGGGAACAAAACGTCCGGTGACACCATGGAAAAGAGTCCCATTAAAGAAGTAAGTGGCATTAAATCGGTCTGTTTCCTTCTTGCAAACCTCAACCAACATGTGGAATATTTGTTAGGTATGTATGACAGGGAATTATCTTAAGGAAGGAACCGAGCACTACACAGCTCCTTGGAACCCTGGACTTGGAAGTGAAAGGGCTGTTTCCCTGGAAGCCTGATAATTCTTGATCGTATTCTCTGTAACACATTTTAATTTTAGTTGAAACACCTAAATTTTACTATAGATAGAGCCTTGCAAGTAGATTTCAAAATCCATTAGATTTATAATTAATTGTATCTGGCCTGCGAACAGTAGATTGTAGTAAAAGCAAAACCAAGCACAATATTTATTAATAATGGTTCAGGGCTTTTTTCAAAAGCCTTAATGGTAACCCAAGGACAAGGAGAGGTGTAAGTGTTGGGCATCACTCATTCAGACAACATTTGTGGACAGCAATTAGGGGCAGAGCAATGTGACCAGTCCTCAGGGAACTGAGCGGAATGTATGAGGGGCACCCTTTGCCCATGGAGTCCTCTCCTTGTTGGGTAAGTTCTCGAGCATCATTCTGGCACCTCCCCTTGAAGAACTGAGGGAGGACTGATGGTTGTCCAATGGAGTCTACCTGGATTTAAGACCAAGCTTCTCAGGATAACCTTCACAGGCCACATAGCCCTTGAAATGCAAGTTTCCTTCTCTGTAGAATGGGTCTGAAACAGATATTTCATTGGATAATCTAATGATTAAAGGCGAAGGGAAAGTGCATGGTAGGCCTAATGTAAGGAAGCGAGGTGTGTAATGGTGACCACGTGATAAATCCCAAATCTACCAGTTCTGATTGGAGCAATTATGCCTCATCGGACAGTCTTCTGCCCAGTAGATAATCATTCATTACCAGGAAAACTGGCAAATTTCCTCAAATTTCCTCAATTTTCTATTGGAATTTTCTGAAGAAAATAAAAGAGAACATACTTGAGAAGAAAAAAATGCCATGTGGTGACAGACAACAAACAAAAACACCCAGCAAATACAACTCCAAAAACCCAGGATGTCCAGCATTTCTTCTGAGGGGCATAGCAGGTGAAGCAGGAGAGTATTTTTGAAATATTAAACAAATATTTTTGTTCATTATGTATTTCTAATTGTCTGGGGCTTGCTTCCCACCAACTGGATCAATGGTATTTAGGAGGAGGGCAGACAGAGCCTGGAACAAAGAAGGCAACTGAAGAGCTTAATGGATGTTTTTAACTCACAGAAGACACAACAGGCTGAAAGCAAACTGCTTCTGATTTGCAAGAGCTGGGTACTTGAGACAGAGATGAGTATTGCTTTGAATTCCAAAAAGGCTTGACGTAAAGTGAGACCAAAGTTTGGAGGACCTATCATAAGAGTACCTAAGATGAAGGACAGGATGTTAGGGCCGTTTCCACCACACAGGAAGTCGATGGATAACAAAGTCTGGGCTGAGGAGCTAAACGGGGTTCAAACTTTGAAAGAACAGGAGAGAGCCCTCCACAAAAGTTTGGGGAAACGGAGCAGAGCAGTGTTTACCCTGCTTTCTAGGTAAAGCCCCCAGGTATCTGTTTCTTTATGGATGTTACTATTTTTAAGGGCACATGTCTTCACAGAACTGAAGTGAAAACCCAAAGAAGTGGTTGGACCGGGAAGCTTCTATGCCACTGTAACAAAGGGTGACAAACTGTGGAGAAGTGACCAAAGTACAAGGGGGTTTGGGTCTCCAGAAGTGGTAAATTGTGGGAAGGAGACCAGGAAATATATGGTAGATAACCATTGTTTAGTAAGGTTTGTTATGCAGGCTCAAGTGATGAGACAGGGGGATACCTTTACAAACGGAAATTTATGCCCTGATTCTAGGCAACTAGGAGCAGGGCAGAGCGCTCCTCCTGTGTCTGCTGTTTCTCAGTTGCCTTCAGCTCAAGATAATCCCTATGCTAAAGTGGCATATTTGGGGATGGCATAACCTGATCTTCTCCAGAAGAGACCCAGTTTTACATTTGAAGTGACTGAATTACTTTTACTTTGCAAGATTTAATCTCCCCTCTCAACACTCACCCCACCCACATAAGGGCCTCCACTGCCAGCAGACACAGAGGACCACAGGTAATTTGACTTCAGTTCTATTTCTGCATAACTGGGTTATGACTATACATGCTGATCCCATTATACATGTAATGAATAAATGAAATGATGGATAAAGAATCCTGTTATCCTAGGTATTGAGACTGCGCTAGACAGAACTATGAACCAGACCTTGTTTCAGGTCCTTCTCTCTGTCTTTTCAGTGTGGAGTCTCTCTCTCTCTCTTCCCTCAGACCCCTCCCTTCACCCAAGTGGTTCATTCTAGGTCATTCTATGGGTTGCCCATCTGTGTCCAGGGCAGTGAGTCCTCTGAATCAATCTTTCCATCATTCTCCATTATCAATACTGACCTAAAAAACCTCTCCTCCTGAAAAGGAGAGCCCTATTTCCCAAGGATTTGGAAAGCAATCTGTTGTCTAACTTAAGGACCTATGACAGCACCACGACTCCACACCCTCGTGATAAGGGATGATGTCTTGATATCATTGGCAGTACACAGGTACAGAAGGAACAGCCTCTTAATTTTAATAGACTGTATATATTTTTTATTAAGACCTTCTGTTTATGATAAACAATGCTGGATATCCATTTACAGAAGAAATATAAAGTTTCTGTTTTATGAAAATTTAAGTAAAAAGCCAATTTACGGGAAATACTGGGTATAGAACACAGTACAAGAGGAACACAGTATGGCAAAATCTTGATGATGATAACACAAATAATTGAGGGGGGATAGAATGCTGGACAGGAAGGAGTTTTCAGGGGGGGAATTTTTGGTCTTGCGGTAGCGAGGCTGAAAGACCCCGGGGACGAGGGAGCCCTCTCTTGCAAAAGATACGGAAAGTAGTTCTTCATTCTCCCACAGGTAAGATCAGGCTTGTTCAGAAGCTGTCTTCTATTCTCTCCTGCATCCATTTAGGACATGAAAACACAGGAGAAATGTGGAAAATTTGGAAATGTTTACAAAAGAGTAAAAGGAATCAATATGCGTCTGAAAAAAAATACACATCTAGACGAAAAATGGAATTTTCCAAGAAAGGCAGGGCAGGGAAGTAGGAAATAAATTTAACTCCAGGCAGAGAGAATTATTGTTGGCCTGAGGAGGGTGTCCTCAGCAGGGGTCACTGGGCCGTCTGGAGGCACGCACCTCCTCACTCTTCAGTCTGTCCTCATTCAGGGCAGAGTAAGAGAAAGAGAACTGAACTCGAAGTGGAGGGAGTTCTGGTCCCAGAGGCACGGATGACTGTTTGTTCTGGGCCACTAAGCTCTCAGCCTCAGTCTCTCCACCCAATAAATGGGGAAATAAGCCCTCCCCCATCCCCACCGACATCTCTGATTTCCTGAAGAGCCTCAAGTACAAAAAGACGTATTATGTCCTTATGCAAAGCAATCATTAATAACACGCCATTCCTACATTTCATCTGAACATATATGGGAGGAAAACACAGGCGTGGTTAGGGATGCGGTTTTCTAGTCCTGACAGAGTGAGAGTTCAAGAATCAACCTACAATCACAGAATAAAAAGACGGTGGGACAAAAGCATGTCCTCAGCTGCCTTTAAAATGGGCACCCAGGCTAGTTCTTAAATACTAAGGACTATTCACAGATATTAAGGACACTCACAGGCTCGAATCCCAAAAGTTATTGATAAGTTAAATATGTTTTCATCAGTAGAAGTGTTAGCAGTGGGATAATCTGGGGAATAACTGCTTGAAATACGCAATCCAGAAGTAGTGGGACACAGTTTTCTGATGTACAACGTGACTGAGGAAAGTAAAAAATCCTGTTCCATAGAAGTAGGCAAATGATGGCAGACGAGCTTATTATTAGTATTGGGCACTTACTATGTGCTTCTTACTTCCTTGTGCCATTTCATCCTCACAACCTCATGATACAATCGGTATCATGATTATTCTCATCTTAAAGATGAGTAAGCAGATACAGAGAAGTTAAGCGACTTGTCCAAGCTGGTAAGTACCAGATACAGCACAAACCCAGGAAGTGTAACCATCCTACACCCTCGCCCACAGCCTCGCCAGTCAACTGACGAAGCCGAGGGGTAGAATCCAACAACACTTTAGTAAAAGCTGGCAACATCTGAGGGCTCACTAGTGCCAAGCACTGCTAAGAGCTACTATATGCAATCTCATTTAACCCTCGCTCAACCTCGGGGAGTAGGCACTGTTATGATCTCAGTGTTACAGGTGAGGAAACTGAGGGGGACAGAGCATCAGAGATAGGACAGGGCTTCCTGACCACTTAAAGCAGTGTCTCATTATCACCCCCTACCCCAAGAAGCCCTTTTCCTAATTACTCCCTTGTGAAATTTTAATACCACAGAGAGACTATATATCTGTATATGTACTGCATATATATCTGTGCTTTGTACATAAAAAGAATAAGATTTTTTTCACCCCACCGAGAATCAATTTTTGCCCACATTGAGAATGTGTGGGCTACAGCTGAATGGATCCTTATGCAAGGAGCCTGTTGTGACTCAGGAAAGGGGTTCATTTATTTTTCTCATTCATTCATTTATTCAATGCTTCAGTATTCACCGAGTGAAAGGAACCAGACACAATACAGTATAATACTCTGTGATTCCATTTATATAAGGTTCAATAACAGACAAAATGAATGTATGGTATAGCAACGTGAACAGTGGCTGCTTCTGGAAGAGAAGGACCAACTAGAAAGGGCATGAAGGAATGTTCTGGAATAATGGAAATTTTTTTATCTTGATCTGGGTGGTTACATGTTTGCATGCCTTTGTCAAAATTTATCAAACCATACACTTAAGAAATCTGCATTTACTGAATATAAATTATAGCCCAATATAGTTTTTAAGGAAGTTTTAAAGAAAGTATTTCCTAGTATATGCCAGCCTGGGTCCTTTAAATCAGTCCCTTGTCTAACTTGATGCAGATGCCAAGGTGCAACCAAAAGCTCTGTTGTCATCATGCTGGGTCAGGGAAACAAACTGACCCCTTAATCTGACTTTACCAACGTGTGCCCTGCCATCCCAGGCAAAGCTCTGATGATCCAATATCATAATGGAGTAGAAAAAGGCTAATGAGTACCTCAAAAAATCAATGGGATCTAAGAACTTCCATATGAGGACAGGCTGTAAAGTCAAGTGCCCGGAGGTTTATACAATGGCTGCTGGGAAGAGGTGACAAAAATCTATAAAGTCCCACAGGCGAGAAGCAAGGGGAGGCCTTTCCTCGACTCTGAGAACATTTATCCCTCTGGACAGTGGCCCACGTGCTCCCTTGTGACACTGCTTGTTCTTGGCACCAAATGATTATTTACAGCAGCACTGTTATTTTGCTTTCCACATGCTTATGTCATTTTCCCAACTAGATCAGAAATGGCCCATGGTCAGGACTGTGTCCTCCACCCAGCTTACTGCCCTCAGTGGCTATGCATGGCACCTTACAATCAGATTCCTGGGGCCGCATAACTATGAATACCCAATTTTCTGAACCAGATCCTAGAAGCACTGTCTGAAAAAAGGATCTTTGTGCTACTTCTGCATGTGATAGGCTGCCTAAGAGACACAATCTAGATGCCAACCCACTGGAATTTCTAAGACATTAGAAGATTTAGGGGCACAACAGGAAAACTATTTAAATCTAAATCTGGCCCTTCTAGAAAATTCAGGACATATGGTCAGTGCAAGCATGAAGCAATCTTAAAAGGCTTATTCTGTCTATAACAGTGTATTAAACTAGAAAAGGGGGAGAATCTTGACAGAATTTGCTTTTGGAAAAAACAGAAATGTGATCAACTGAATACTGGGGTTTTTAGAACTGTTCATCCTAAGAGTTGGAGAGAGAGAAATAAGAGAACTAAGACCTCACATTTGGTGAGAAGCTACTCTGCATCAAGTATTCTGCTGGAGACAGTATAAACATTATCTTCTTCAATCCTCACAGTGACCCACGAGGTGCTATCATTATACCAATTTTACAGAATAAAGGGGATGATACTTGGCCCAATATAGGATGATGGAATCTGAATGTGAAGTAGGAAACTGGTCTGAGACCTTCCATTTTCAAGCTCAACACTATCCCGCACTTCCTTTGTGACCTGTAACCTTCAACAACCCCGCAGATAGGTGCCAGGGCCTCTCCCACATGAGAACAGAGCTCAGGGAGGGAGCTGGTGTTTGAATGGGAACACAGACGGACATCTTCAAAACCACACCAGAGTCTGCTTCTCATGAGGGTCTGTGAAAGGTTTAGGGAGTAGATGGTTTTAGCAGGTCATCAAGAGAAGAGCACGCCACCTAGGCACATGGTCAGCCAGCCCATGGGGTAGTTCCCGTCAAGGGCAGCTGCAGCAAAGTGGATGTGAAAGCCGAGGCCAGGGCAGAACCCTGGACAGGGCTGTGGCGCAGAGGGAGCTTTCAGTTTGGGTGGTTAAGTGACTGACACACGTCCCACGTGACTCAGGTGCGTCCCTCTCTCGCTCTTACCTGTACTGTGTGCACTGTGTAGATTTTCTTCAGATTTGACGCGCACTCAGCTGCTGTGGCACCAGGGAGGGATCTGAGCAAACAAGCAAAAGGGCAAGAAACAACGAAACAGGCCGTCAGTGTTCATGAACCAGTTCACAGTGCAAGTCTGCAGGTCTACCACAGAACTGGGCATTTCTGGGATGCTATTTAGAGTTTAAAATGTGAAATTCCAACTTTGTGAAGTTACGTCTTTGCTTCACCTAAAAATAGGCATATTTATTCTGTGGAAAATTAATTTAAAAACACAAATGTAAGTGAAAAAAGTATTGGAAACCTTAAAATCACATTTTAAAAAACACTAAAATAACCTTGCAATAACCAAGCCTTTTGCCTAGGGCTTTGGATAAGAAACTGTGCCTATCGTACTGACGACAGTGAAAATGCAGAGTCCTGACCTGGCTATATGTTGGAAAAACTTGTTAATTTCCCCGTGGCAAATATTCATGAACTCCTGAGAAACAGTGACCTCTGCCAACTTTAAGAAAACATGATTACTAAAAGTCAATTTTAATTTCACCTGAATTTGCATGGGTTTCCAAAACACTTGCCTTTAGGAAATACTTTCAGTTATTTTTTCCGGCTGATTTAATTAGCTCTGCTGAACTTTGTGGTCAGAATACATTAATCTTTAGTTTGCCTATGTGCCACTAGATGGCAACACACTACAGGTTTGTTCCCCCAGAAAACCATGCGATACTGCGAGCTTCACACCATCTCCTGGGATTGGGGGTAACAGGACACGCTCTCCTCGATCCTGAGTTCAGACTCTCAATTGCTGCCACCTTTTCCTTTTCCCTATACTGAGTTAGCAGTTCTTGCTCAAGAATGTTGGGGTCCAGTTACATCAGGCCTAAGATGAAAATTCACCGCTCACATAGTGCTCGAAAGTCCTGTGTCTGGTTGCTGGGTGAGAAATGAGGCTTGCTGAGAGGAAAAAGTATCAGCTCCCAGGTGACCCACTAGGATCTGGAATCTATAAAAGGGATGCTCTTTAGCAGCCACTGACCCTCAGAGACACAGTCCCCAGGGAACCTCAAGGTGTTGAATTTTCTGGACAGTAATTAAACCATTACACACTAGAGATGTGCACAAAACTCACCTAGCTCAGAGGGAGGGAAGATGGCAAAGCAAAGGACCATGCCCAGATGTGGGGTGGGCGGGAGGCACAAGTGGCAGGGCTCTCAGACTCCATTCTTGGAACCCTGGACCAATGAATGCTCCCTGGTGTCTAATTGGAATATCAAAAATGCATTTCTGAATACAGTTCCCTTGCTTGGAGGTCACTAAGGAAGACAAGTATGGACTAGCATGGGCACAAACGGGGGACCCTTGTTGAGTAGGCGAAGTCCGATAAATAAATCTACCCGAAAGCACTGGGTTTACAACTCTTTTCTAGTTGTTTATAAATATGCCGGACATTGTTTTTTTAAAAAGTCAATCCACAAGAACCACCATGATTGCATTTTGTTGCCAGACATGAAGCCTAAAACAACAGATGAAGAGTGTGGTCAAGAGGGAGGTACTCGACATCTTGCTATGACAGTGCTGGGGCCCGCGACACATCCATCAGTCTGTCTGGACTGCCTGGGCTTGGGGATATGAAAGCATTGACTTAGATAAATATCAATTAGCTATTTAATGGAGGTTTTATGCTGTTTTTAGTTTGAATTATAAAAGGATTGGGGAAAAAAACTAAAAGGAAAAAACCTCGAACTTTTTCTGAATAGATTTTCACATGAACGATCTATTGCTTTTATAAGAAAATCTTCTGGCATTTATTCCAATCTGATTTTTCTTCCTTTGAAAAGTTTAGCTGAATTCTCCACCAAATATGCCCAGCAAATAATCCCTGGATCACCCAAAGCACACGGGAGGGTATACACAGGCCTCCTTCGATACGGGGTGGGGTGGGGGTTGTTAGGGTCCAAAGGGAGGCAATGTACTTGGCATTTTTTTCATTTTTAAAACTGTGTATTTCATATGTTTACTATGTTTTAAAGTTACACTTCAATTCGTGATTTAGAAGGAGTATAGAATGAGTTTAGAATGAGTATAATTTGAATGTTCACCTCATACAGCATTACATCAATTTAAGCAAATACGATGTCAGGATAATATCATTTAACCTAGAAAAAAAAAACCATTGATAAACATCTGCTTAATATGCCTCTTTTTTAAATGCCTCTGTCTCCATGTTCTGGTCTTTTACTCATATTCTAGTGCAGGAGACAATTATACAAAGTCATTTAGGGTCCGCTTGATCTCACTGTCCATGTGTTTTTGAAGAAATCTACTATCCAGAGTCCAAGAAAGGGATCTAGAACAAAATGACGACTAGGCAGTGCTTATCAGTGTAAGACAAGGATGGCAACAGCTAATCTGTGTAGACTGAAACCTTGCTAGTGTGATAAGCATTTTACTTTCATTACAGCATTGAATCCTTGCAAACCTTCTTCTGCAGCTGTCAATACTATTTGTCACCATTCTCCAGGTGAGCAAGCCAGGGCTTAGGAAGGCTTGTAACTTGCCCAAGGCCACAAAAATGTGATGTGAATACAGGTGACCTGTCTGAGATTTCCTGCTCTTTACCGCTGACTGAACTGTCCAGCCAAGCCATATACACACTTACATATTTTTTTTTGGTGAGGAAAACTGGCCCTGAGCTAACACTTGTTGCCAATCCTTCTCTTTTTTTGCTTGAGGAAGATTTTCATTGAGCTAACATCTGTGTCAGTCTTCCTCTATTTTGTATGTGGGATACTGCCACAGCATGGCTTGATGAGTGGTGTGTAGGTCCGCCCCCAGGATCTGAACCTGCAAACCCTGGGCCGCTGAAGCAGATTGTGCAAACCTAACCACTATGCCACTGGGCTGACCCCCACAGTGACATTCTTTAATGGAGTTTTTGCAATTAATCCTCTGTGTGTTCTCATCAAGGCTATCATTTTTGCTGAATTCCATTTTAAATACAAGATAGTAGTCCATATAACTTTCTTAGAATAGTCTTTCCAATGGACCAGGATAGAGAAGATCCTCACTAAAACCAACAGGACCACACTCAATGACAGCTCTATTCTGATTAACATCTGATGATATGTATTGGCGTTTGAAAGAAAACGTGTCAGGTTCCATGGAAACTCAGTTTCCTAATTTCTTTTCTTTTTTTTTTTTTAGGAAGATGAGCCCTGAGCTAACATCTGCTGCCAATCCTCCTCTTTTTGCTGAGGAAGACTGGCCCTGCGCTAACATCTGTGTCCATCTTCCTCTACTTTATATGTGGGACGCCTGCCACAGCATGGCTTACCAAGCGGTGCCATGTCCGCACCTGGGATCCGAACCAACGAACCCCGGGCTGCCGAAGCGGAATGTGCGCACTTAATTGCTGCGCCACCGGGCCGGCTCCTAAGTTTCCTAATTTCTTAGAGGAGGCTGGATTCTGTGATCTTAAAGGTTCCTTCCAGCTGTTGAACAATTTTATGAATATCCAGGTTTCAAAGTAAAAAACAATGTTGTCAGAACTTCTGAGGGTAGTAAATGGTTGGCTCGGCCTGTGCAAGGAACAGCATTCTTCTGCAAGCCAAATCTGATTCCAACAGTCACCGAAAAACAGCAACGTGCTTCAACCTCGTGCCTGAACCTCAGACATCTTTAACAAGCAAAACTGGGCCGTATCCACAGAACCCATTTTAAAAGGGCAAAAAGCTGAGACTTTTAAATAACCTGCCTTGGAAACAGGTCAGTCTGTACTGGATTTGCTGATTCAAAGTTGAAGCCGAAGCTGTATCGTCTACTATTACTGTTTCTTAAAGTAGCAGTGCAGGCTGCTCGTGGCAAAGCTGCAGCCTTGGCAGCAGACAGTCGACAGCCCGTCTTCCCTGTCACTCTAAGAGACAGTTGTAGCGACTAGAAGGTAAATGTTTGTAGCGGGTTTCAAGGAAAGGAACATTTTTACTCCTATCATATATACAGTATATGCTCATATCTTTAAAAATCTTTTTAGTTCATTCATGTTACAAACCTAAACCTCCCAACTGAAGCTTAACCAAACCTTCTCTCTGCAGACAAGGGTGCTCACCTGGGGGTGCTGTTGCCCCCCAGGGGACAATTGGGAATATCTGGAGACATTTTTGCTTGTCACAACTGAGGGGGATGCTACTGGCATCTAGTAGCTAGAAGCTGGGCTGTTGTGGCACCTCCTACAGTGCCCAGGACAGTCCCTTAACAAAGGATTATCTAGTGCAAAATGTCAGTGGAGTCAACGCTGAGAAACCCTGCCACAGACAAGTAACAAATAGTCTCAGAGGATGTATAATTTATTTAATCAACAAAGATTCATTGGACACCTTTATTAGCTGATGGGGATACAGCGATGATCATTCTAGACAAAGCCCTGGTCCTCATGGAATTTATGTTCTAGAACTGGCACCCCTGCTCTCTGAATTCCCCAGAAGGCAAAGAAACAACACTTAGATCCTCTTTTATTTGCCTGGGAAGGAGGAAGTGGGAGAGAAAGCTGAGAGAGGAATACACACATTGATGATGACCATTCCTAGAAGGAGAGAGAATCAGAGCTGTGGAAAATCACAGAATCAGGGAATCAGGACCTATTTTCATTCTCTGAATTTGATGCCAGTCTCCCACAGTATGCAGCCGGAGCTGAGAACACAGCAATGGAACAATAAATGCCCCCTGGATGGATCAGATTGAGGGGTTTGAATTGTTCCACCAGGAGTTTCCCCTCTGATTTAAGGATATTAACGTAATGATGGCTTCTTTTTATCAAGCACGTATTATACGAGAAGGTTTTGCATGTATTATCTCTAATCCTTAGAGCAATCCTGTCAAATTGGTATCATTATCCCCACTTTACAAATTAGGAAACTGAGGCTTAGTGAGCCTGTTTTGAAGTAACAGATCTGGGTTCTTTTCTGGGTCTGTCTGGCTGTGATGCCCATGGTCTTCCTCTTGGACGAGGACGCCTCTCAGTGAGAACCAGGCAGTCACTGTCAGCATGGCATACAGCACATCCTA